CACCTCACGCGCCTCACAGTCCTGAACGCCCCGAACACCCTTCGAGGGGTTGAAGGGTAGGTTAGGCCCACCCCCTAGCTTAGGTTAGGTTGGGTTAGAGCCCTCATCTTCACCTCCAAAAAAAATCCGCAAAAATGACCAAAAATTTTTTTTCTGAAAATGACCCATTTTTGACCCTTCCGAAGGTTAGGTCAGGACAGGTTACCTGGGGGGGCCAATATGGCGCCGGGTGACCTGGGGGTACCCTTACTTCTCCCGCGCGGCGTCTTTTTTGTGCTCGCGGTTGAGGAGGCCGTTTGGGCATGAAGGAGTCGAGATATCGCAAAACGGACGAAATTTTCGCCCAAAGGGTCATGGCCTGTTCACCCTAGAGTCAAACTTAGTTTGGTAAAAGTCCGAAAAAAAAAATTTGGCTTTTTGCCTTTATATAGGGTCTTGGGGCACGGGAGCAGGACAGCTCGTCCCCACCAACTCGTTCCCAACCCTACTGGCCCCAACGTTATCTCGTTCCCGGCTGATTTTTGAACTCGGTCCCCCGGCCGGGCCAACTCGTCCCCGCCACCATTGTTGGGGCCGGGTCTAGACAACAACAGCAGTCAGCGCTGTACGTCCTCCTGGACAACCTGCAGGAGGAGGTGGCGGTGGTGGACATGGAGTGCAGCCGCGCCGAGGGCGGCCACTCACCGCAAAAACGGCGCTCCGAATACGTGGCAACTGACGCACGCATCGCCCGAATCCAGGCCCGCTACGAGGAGTGCAAGGACAACGACGACGTCTTGGGCTACTTAAGGGCGATCGGCCACAATGTAGCTGGACACATCTAGGCAGGAGGGTTTAGGACAAAGACCAATAAAATTAATGTGATCCAATTTTTTTTAAAATTTGGGACGATTTGGGACGGGCCCAGCTGGGGTTGGGACGAGATAACTCGGGAACGTATTGGCTCGGGAACGAGTCGACCGGGACGAGTTGTCCTAGACCCTGGGGCACGGCTTTGGTAAGTCTGACGACCTTGGGCTTTCAAATTAAGAGTTTTCTCACCATTTCGGTCATTTTGAGTCGGGGAACCCAGCGGAATTCTCACTTTCGCAAAATAAGAGCTGGTCTACCGCTCGGCGCTTTACGGTAACCCGAAAACCCGGCGCTTCTAGTGTTAACTTGTAACATCTTTTCAAAAGGGTAAGTTAATTTTTTATGTCTCGAAATTGTGTGGATATACTTTTGCAAGTACTTTAATAAGTCCGTACCCTTAACCTATAGCGAACATTGTATAATGTTATGTTATGACAGCAGTGTTAGTTAAATGTTAAGTTAAGGATCCCTGGTGGTCCAGTTCGGATGCTACGGCCGGTCTCAAAGTTGCTCAATTTCACTGCAACCGGGGGCATTTTAGGTCTGTGCCGAAGCTTTTTCATAATGAAAATGGACCTTATATACACGCTCCGTGTATTTTGGGACGTGTTCGCATCGAGCTTAAGTGGCTGGAGTCCCAAAAACATTTTTCTGCTATCTCATCGTGATGTGCATCTCTTTGATGTGCACCTCTTGAAACGCCTATTTAATATGGAGTCCCAAAACTTTCTGTGACTGTAAGTTGCAGTCAAAGGCAACCCTTAATTGGTCCAGTCACCAATTTATTACTCGTTCGTTACATAATGTACGAAATTTAGGTGGTGTGAAGAGAACGAGTATTGTGCTCGAGAACTATTTTTATGAGCAATCTATTTCAAATCTTTACTCACACAAAGTAAACCGCAAACAGTGTGCTATTTTGAAAGATCAAAACCTGCTCTTTCTGACGTACATGTGGTAATTTTCAACTTTTAATGTAAAATTATGGAATAATCCGTTTTTTTAGGCACGAAGTAGCCTTATAGTATACCCAGGATTCAGCCGGCCCGAGATTCGATTTGTGTGGCCCTTTATGCATTTCGGAAATTTTCTATACGATTTAAATGAGATTTTGCAGACTTGTAGAACTTTGAACGCTGATTCTGATGCTGAAATCTGGTTAAAAATTTGGTGGCCAATTTCGAGAAATTTGCTGTCAAAATCGCCGTTTCCATGGCAAAACTCGACTCGTCAAAGGAAAAAAAAGGGAGTGGGGGGGAGCCGAGCCGAGCCGGACCAATAGCGGAGCTTCTTTTTGGGTCTGTACAGCTTACTCCAAAAGCTGAAATAGCTCGTTCGAAATGAAAAATTTCTTTGACTGCAGGTAGACAAGATGCAACAATAGAATTGGTCTCGTTTCGAACGTGGCCATTTGGATCGGCCGGCCGGCCAGTGACTTTTTATGAGAGTGTCCCGCACCAATCCCGCGCCGCTGCGTTGTTGTTTTTGTTGTTGTTTTGTTGAAAATTTTTGTTACTCTTCAAATCGGAGTGAATTCAGCCATTTAAGGGGGGACATCACTACGAAAACAGTGCTTTTGTAAAATCGTCATAAAAACCAAACGGAAAGAGAAAAATTGTTCATATTTTAACAGATAAAGTATAAAACCACACTTAGTCAATCAGCCAGGGCAGTACAGCGCTTTCGTTGAAAACGCATTTTTGAGTGTTAGGTTAGACCATTTCGCACGGTTGCAGCGCTGGACGCCAAACGGTTTGACCTAGACTAGAACAACGAAATTTGGTGACAGCCTTCCTGAGATGTCTGGCTATGGTGGGTACCTCAATCACATTTAAAAAATCATTTTAAGTTGAATTTGTTACATGCCAAAAAAAATTGTTAAATTTTTTGGGTCAAAATTGTTCAATTTTGAACGTTATAAAAATAATAAAAATTGACCAATGCAAATTATTTTGCTACCCACCATAGCGGCATGTTGTAGGAGCTCCCATGCTAAATCTCCCCGCTGTAGCTCAAAAACTGCGCCCTAGAGGCCTGCAACCGTTTGCAATTTCATGTTCCGAGAAAAACGCGATCAAAGTTGTGGAAACTGGGCTTTTCCCCTATGCATGTTTGCGGCCCACAACCTCCCAAAACTGCAATTTTTTGAATTTCGGAATGCGGTTTTCGCCATTTGACGCAGAAAAGAATGGTCTATAGTATAAACTAATAAAAAAAAGTTGCGATTTTTTATCAGTTTGGAGTGATGTCCCCCCTTAACTGCGTACCTGTGCACATGCATCTGTGAATTATCTTTCCTTAATGTAGTTTAAGAGTCGCTTTAAGACTTTTAGTCTCTTTTTGATTAAGCTGGTCATTTAGCTGCTCCTTTTAGCCAGGTTTGATGGTACTTCTGATTCAGTTAGCACCATGATCACTTCGCTCCACCTCGCGACTTTCAGTGCTCATGTTCCTCGAACAAGACTCACCCGCGTTTCGAGACCATCCCTCTCGAGTTTATAAAGTTTGTCAAGCCAACCGTCGTGGTGTTGCTACGTTGTGAGTGAGAACTATCACACAGAATTGAAGAAAACACGAGGGGGTAAACACTTCACGAAATCGTGTACAGACTACTCGGTATTACGCTGTATTACGGGTACGTGTATTACGGCCCTGAAATGCCAAAATTTGGCACATTTGACCCAAAAATGGTATTACGATCACGTGTATTACGCGTAATACACGGTTTTTGTGTACAGGGTATTACACGAGTGGTTACCCCCTCAAGAAAACATGACTAGAGAACCGCAGCCTTTTGAAACAAGCCAAACAATTCAACGTCAGCAACAATGGAGGGGCGGTTTTAATGCGCGACTATACTCGTGTTTTCAGCTTCGCGATTTTCGCAAGGGCGTAGACGCCGACAAAATTGTTGCCAACCCGCGAAAATTAATTTACTGCCTTCTTTCTGCTACCAAAATTTTCATAATGATGGACTTCAAAGATGTTCCTTTGTCAGATCACTGTGAAATACATTGGCATTGGAATTTTTCGAATTTCCCGGCATTTTGATTTCTCTTTATTGCCAAGGTTAAATTTTGACGGGTGGCACATCGACCACATTGGTACCACTGCCCTTCGTAGCCACCCTTGAGCCACCCCGTACCTTTTACATAACTTTTTTGCTTTCCCCACACTCCTACCCAAATGACTTCGTGACTCCTAGGATTTCTTGAAATCGTATTTTTTTTTGGGTGTGAGAGGTCTATGGCTGAAGTTGTTCTATAGTCATCTATCATGACTTCTGTACTCACTGTGAAGAGACAAGAACGTGAAATGATAGGAAGCAAGCAACCCTAGCTGAACTGGAGAATATCGTAAAAAGTGTGATTGAATATCTCGGCAAACTCAATCTTATGGTGAATAATTGTAAAACTGATTTCTCACTGAGAACAACTATCGACCCCATTCTAATTAAAGCCGATTCAGAATATTTAGAACAAGCAAATTCAAGTAAATCCAAAGGAATACAAGTTGACTTAAGATTTGAATGGACGGATCAGCCAAGTAATACTACTAACAGCAAAACTTGACAGGCATCTTTACCCTCACACAACTGTCCCAAACTACCAGCCTTGATCCTTTGCTAAAAGCCTACTACGCGTTCATCTATCTACGTACCTATTGTAGCATTTATGGAATAGTGAAGCGGAGGGAAGAACTCAAAATTTATTAAGAATTCAAAAATAAGAAATTAGAATATTCTTATTCTATATTACTGGATTCTTAATAAATTATTTAATGTTAAGACTGTCGAGAACTACCTCATGCAGCACCAGATTTAGAAAATTAGGCCTCGGGGAAGAAGGATCACTCACTGGTCTCAGACTGATTGCTTTAAACAGCCTGCTGTTACAGGGATTCCAACTTACATCACAGCAGCCGCGGCAACCTGTATACACAACAGCCGAAACAGAGTTTGTGCTTGAGCACTGTTTGGTTGTCCCTGAACGATTAGTCACTTGTTCGTACCGTTCATGTCGTGGGATGCGGCAATGATTCATTATTATCGCTTTTTGGATAGCATCTCACATTTTCGTGTTCAGAGTATCGCAACTTGGATGCGGCTCGGATCCGTACGTATTTGCCCATGTGTACTCCCCTTTCAGCGATGTCGCAGAGGCGGGTCCGCAATGGCTGCAAGAATGTCGTCCTGGCTGTGTTTCTTGGACTGGTTCTCGGGCCGCACATTGCTATCAGCAAGGCGGGAAAGGCAATTAATTCATATGCGGTAAGAAGAACTGCGTTGTAAAGTCATACGCGACTGAGCGATTCTCACGTTTCGGGGTAGTTTCGTTTCTTATGACTCCTGTGCCCAAACGAGCGCAGATATCGACATGGGGTTTGTTTCTGATGTTAGGGAGGGCCATTGCCCACTAAACGCACACATTTCGAAAAGTTCACGTTCGTTGGATTGGTCTACGTAGCGTTTGGAATACCCTAAATGTAACTTCCGTGATTGTCCAAAGAGAACATGCTTGAACTTTCCGCCCCCAGTCTGGCGGTGTGGTTCGAAAATGCTGCCAACTGTCGATGGGGATTCGAAGCTTGGCATGTCTCGAGCTAATTTCAACCGAAGACCAATACGCCAGACTTCTTTCAAAGGCACTTATGCTGCAACGAAAAATGTCCACCGTATATTCAATTTCACTACACAAATTTCGGAAAGGCAGCTCTGGACTTCTCCCCAAGCCAAACTTTTAACTTTCCATGACACAAGCCATCAAAGTAGAGTCCCTGGGATATAATTGCATGGGTCGCGGAAATCTAAGATGCTGTATACGGTCTCAAAGCGGGCTAGAGCATTATAAAACGGCGTGTATCAACAATTACCTGTAACTTCCGTGGCACCCTTTACACAATGTTGCAGCAGCATTAGGTGAAAAAAATTTCCGCTTAAATGTCGGGCTTAGAGTATCATTTGACCCTGGAACGACTTTTAAGCCACAGCAAGCCCGAGTCAGCCGTTAAAGCCGATTTTCACACTTTGTAACTTCCGTGATAACGTAATTTCCGTGATCAAAACACCCACTAAAACGTATGGGAATACCTTATAGCTCATGTTTTTAGGAAGGTAGTACAAGGTCTTTACTATAAATACTATTGCCATAACTCTAGTATCATCCAGGACCCCAATAATCAGAAAAACTTAATTGGATATTTCTTACTTTCGGCAAATCCGAGACGCCAAAACTTCCCCGAAACGTGAGAATCGCTCGACTATATTACAGTTTCAGCGCCCAGGACCTGCAATTTTAGTGCTGACTCCACAAATCCAAAAGCGTGCATTGTATGCTCTACCCGGAGCATGCCTGCAAGCACGCTCTAGCTAGCGCATGCCTGCCAAGCATGCACTTACTAGTGCATACATGCATGCTTACACGCTGACTGGAGCTAACATCTGGTGTATGAGGGAGCCACTTCTTCCGTGCAGTAGTCTCTCTGAAGCGTACAACGTGTGTCTAGGATGATTTGTCCCAAGGGACAAAGGCAAACAACTTGAATTTTGGTTTGCATTTTCCATGAAATAACGTGAAATAAGGGTGAAATAACGTGAAATAACGTTGAATTAAAAGTGAAGTAATGCAAAAATAACTTGAAACAACGCGAAATTACGTGAAATAGCGTGAATTTGAAACAACAGTGTACAAACTTTGACGAAGTTGTTTTCCCCTCGTGAAGTCCTCTAAACGCAATTTTAATACATTTCGTGAAATAACAGAAAAGCTCTAAAATGGTCTTGATTTGATTAGGCAAGTTTCCGTAAACTGACTTGTCATAAAATCTTACGAGCCACATTTTTAAAGTCCATTAGGACTATAAATAGTTGGTCAAAAAAGTTTTCGAACTTTGTCGTTAGGTGAACATTAAGTGTACGCAGGACTATTTTGATATTGTTGATAGTCGTTTGGATGTAGAGAAATAAAAAGTCATATCTTATAAACTTTCTAGATGTTTATCACTTTCAGCAATGTCAAAGTAATGTGGTGTACACTTGTCGTGCACACTGCTACCAAGTGTAGACCAAGTCCACGCAAGGTAGCGTGGTCCGCGGTGGACTTTGTCCACACTTGGATTAGCAGTGTGCACCTACAGAGAAGTTGAAAAACATTTTTTGCCCATTACGTGCCATGTTCAAAGCGATTGGGATCTCAGAGTATGGCTTTTCAGGGAAAGTACATCGTCTACACAGACACGTTCTACATGTGTGATGCTGAAAATACTTGGAACTGGAATTTGAAGACCACGCACTGGAATCCCGCCAAGCCAAACGAGCTGCAACGTATTACTGGCTGGTTGAATGGCACGCTGACCACCGTTACGGACGCAAATTGGGTATGGACGGCCTGAACGGCATTGAGTGTAACCGAATTTGAGGCAACCAATGCAAGTCGCACCATTGAAGGCGTCGAACTGTTCGGACCACGCTTGTAAGATCCACCTTCGTCCCGCGCCCACGTTCGCAAGTATGGGACGCGGTTTCTCTCGAACTTGCTGCCTTTGTCAGTGGAAACGGGTCCCATTCCCCCACTCATTCCAGGAACGTGACATCACGTTGAAACGAACGTAACAAAATGACAAGTTCGTTTGAGCATTGTGTCGCGTTCGTTTGAATGTGAACAAGCCTATTTTTGCCCGATTCACATCCAAACGAATGTGACACAATGCCAAACGAACCTGACAAAATGTCACGTTCGTTTCAACGTGATGTCACGTTCCCGGAATGAGAGTGAGCAAGTGTGGAGCAAACGTGGATCACGCTTGTTAGCTCGCGATGAACGTGGTTGATGCTTGGAAGCGGAGGCGTCTCACGCCAACATGTTTTTTTATTATTATTAAGGAGTGCGATCTTGGTATATTTCCACATCCAAAGCTGAACTCGTGTCTACTGTTTCTTGTCTCTGACCAGTTAGTGATACAATTTCTGCGACCCAGGTGAATATCCTGATGGACGTGCGGTCGAACAACCAGTGGAAGCAGAACGCTTTCGTCTTCAAGTTTCCCAACGGTGCCTGCACTACGATTAAGAAGCAGATCCCAGAATTCTGGAACGTCATCTTCAAACTGCCGAGGAGCGACAAAACGCCGTGTAGTATTCCACCGGTAGGCAAATTGTACGAACACTCTGTGTGTAGGGTAAGGGGTGGATTTGATTCAGGTTTGAGACTCAAATGGGGGCAGGGACAACTTCATTCCGACCGCTTCACACAGTATCGCCGTCGGATGAGTTTGAAACTCCGTCAGTCAAAGGAGAAATATGGTCTTACAGTTTCTGCGCTTTCGGTACAGCAACTCTACGAGGTCAACGACGAGCCCATCGCCTGGTTGTTCCCCAGCGTCCCCATCATGCCGTACGGGATGTACCGCTTTCGACTTACCTCGGGGCTGCCTGGAAAGCCTCCTGTAGCGTGCTTCGTTGTGGAATGCCACACTGTTCCTAAGCTGTCGTAATCATGTGAAGGTCGTGCTAGGTAGACGTTTAGAACACTGCGAACTATAGAGTGCAAATCATAATTCATTTCAAAATAAATTTAGGGCCTACTCTAGAAACTGGAAAGAGTGCATGGCATGCTCCCCCAGGGCGTCAACCACTAAGCACGCTCCATCCTGGAGTGTGCTTGCAAGCATGCTCCACGCACACCCTAGGGTAAAGCGTGCTGCGTCGCTGCCTCATATCAACGAAGAGACACGCGTTCATCCTGGAGCATGCTTTCTAGCATGCTCCACCAAGGAGCGTGCTTGCAACCATGCTCCACCGTGGGCCGTGCATGCCAAGCACGGATAGGGAATGAACGTCTGGGTTCTCTACCCAGTGCTCTACAAATCGAAAAAGCGCACATTGTATTCTCATTTGGAGCATGCCTACAAGCACGCTCTAACTAGCGCATGCCTGTCAAGTATGCACAAACTAGTGAATACATGCCATGTACAGTAGGGTGGGCCGTGAAACACGATTTTTCGATATCGCAAACGTAATAGCGCGCCAAAGTTACTTCATGGCAATACAAACTCAACGCGATCTGGGGCAGGTCTGTAACTTAAAGCTTGACCCTTGCGCATCGACGTTGAAAATTCGAAAATTCGACTTATACGGGTTTTTCTAAAAACATCCATAGAAACTGAACCAGATGTTCAAATGATGTTTGCGAGACGGAAATGGAAACGTCTGATCATGCTTTATCAGTTTAAGACCACCGGGACCCTCTCCGAGCAGTGGGGGACCGATGGGAGAAAATTACAAAATTACAAATTTTTTTCCGTTTTTTACAAAATGCAAAAATTGCCTTCAGGGTTTGACACGGCCATCCTGACGTCACCGTACCCGAACCATACCCCGAATCATCTTCTCTGGGCCCCTTTCCCGTTTAAAGCGCACGGGGTACTCAGGGATCCGTTCACACGTTAGGATTTGGACGCCAAAAACACATGTTTTACTAAAAATGCAAATTATCGGTACTCAGGGCACTGTAGGGCACTCGTCCCGTCCGTATGAACTGCAGTGACTCAGAATCGATTACTAGATGGTGTCTTTGCGTCGCAGGAACCCACCAGTATATAGACAATCGGACGAAGAGACCTTTAGAACGCTATTTACACTGTAAATCTCGTTAATCTAGAGTCAAAACGTATTTGGCTCGTCTGGATTAACGACAGAAGGTCGCTGCACGTTTATACAGGTTATTCTTATCCATCGCATAGGTTGTAGGTGCCTGTGACGCAAAGACACCATCTAGTAATCGATTTTGAGTCACTACAGTTCATACGGACGAGACGAGTGCCCTAAGTACCGATAATTTGCATTTTTAGTTAAACATGTGTTTATGGCGTCCAAATCCTAACGTGTGAACGGATCCCGGAGTACCCCGTGCGCTTAAAACGGGAAAGGGGCCCTTAGAGAAGATGATTCGGGGTATGGTTCGGGTACGGTGACGTCAGGATGGCCGTATCAAACCCTGAAGGCAATTTTTGCATTTTGTAAAAAACGGAAAAAAAATTGTAATTTTGTAATTTTCTCCCATCGGTCCCCTACTGCTCGGAGAGGGTCCCGGTGGTCTTAAACTGATAAAGCATGATCAGACGTTTCCATTTCCGTCTCGCAAACATCATTTGGACATCTGCACAGTGGGACGAAACGGTGAAAAGTGGGAAAAAAATCAGACGTTCTCGTTAAGTACTCCAATGGGACCCAAAACACCATACCACACCAGAAAAAGGGCCCAGAGTGTCCCAAACCTATTTTGGCCCATGCCAGGGTTGAAAAACCCGAGATTTATGCGATTTTTGGCACTTTTTGGCACATTTTGTGAAATTGCGCCTTGTCCTGAATGACTACGCCGTCCGTACTAGCATTAAATTTTCATTTTGGGTCTCTGTTAACATTTCGTGAAATAAAAAGTTGCGCCTTTTCAGAACAAAGCTTTAAAATGCGCCAAAAACGGTCAAAAAAGTCGAAAAATCGTGTTTTTTGGCCCTGTTTGGCACATTTAGTGAAATTGAGCTCTGTCCTGAATGAATAGGCCGTCCGTACTAGCATTAAATTTTCATTTTGGGTCTCTGTTAACATTTCGTGAAATAAAAAGTTGCGCCTTTTCAGAACAAAGCTTTAAAATGCGCCAAAAACGGTCAAAAAGGTCGAAAAATCGTTATTTTTGGGACATTTAGTGAAATTGAGCATTGTCCTGAATGAATAGGTCGTCCATACTAGCATTAAATTTTCATTTTGGGTCTCTGTTAACATTTCGTGAAGTAAAAAGTTGCGCCTTTTCAGAACAAAGCTCTGAAATGCGCCAAAAACGGTCAAAGAAGTCGAAAAATCGTTATTTTTGGCACATTTAGTCAAATTGAGCTTTGTCCTGAATGATAAGGCCGTCCGTACTAGCATTAAATTTTCATTCTGGGTCTCTGTCAACATTTCGTGAAATAAAAAGTTGCGCCTTTTCAGAGCAAAGCTTTTAAATGCGCCAAAAACGGTCAAAAAAGTCGAAAAATCGTGATTTTTGGCACATGTAGTGAAACTGAGCTTTTTCCTGAATGAATAGGCTCTCCGTTTTAGCGTTAAATTTTCATTTTGTGTCTCTGTTAACATTTAGTGAAATAAAAAGTTGCGCCTTTTCAGATCAAAGCATTTAAATGGGTCACAAAAGTCGCTCAACTGCTGAAAACCGCGATTTTTCGACTTTTGTGACCCATTTCAAAGCTTTGTTCTGCAAAGGCGCAACTTTTTATGTCACGAAATGTTGACAGAGACCTAAAATGAAAATTTAATGCTAGTACGGATGGCCTAATCATTCAGGACAAAGCTCAATTTCACTAAATGTGCCAAAAAGGGCCAAAAAACACGATTTTTCGACTTTTTTGACCGTTTTTGGCGCATTGAAGAGCTTTGATCTGAAAAGGCGCAACTTTTTATTTCACGAAATGTTAACAGAGACCCAAAATGAAAATTTAATGCTAGTACGGACGGCCTATTCATTCAGGACAAAGCTCAATTTCACTAAATGTGCCAAAAAGGGCCAAAAAACACGAGTTTTCGACTTTTTTGACCGTTTTTGGCGCATTTTGAAGCTTTGTTCTGAAAAGGCGCAACTTTTTATTTCACGAAATGTTAACAGAGACCCAAAATGAAAATTTAATGCTAACACGGACGGCCCATTCATTCAGGACAAAGCTCAATTTCATTAAATGTGCCAAACAGGGCCAAAAAACACGATTTTTCGACTCTTTTGACCGTTTTTGGCGCATTTTAAAGCTTTGTTCTGAAAAGGCGCAACTTTTTATTTCACGAAATGTTAACAGAGACCCAAAATGAAAATTTAATGCTAGTACGGACGGCCTAGTCATTCAGGACAAGGCGCAATTTCACAAAATGTGCCAAAAAGTGCCAAAAATCGCATAAATCTCGGGTTTTTGAACCCTGGCATGGGCCGAAATGGGTTTGGGCCACTCTGGGCCCTTTTTCTGGTGTGGTATGGTGTTTTGGGTCCCATTGGAGTACTTTAGAAGAACGTCTGATTTTTTTCCCACTTTTCACCGTTTCGTCCCACTGTGATCTGGTTCAGTTTCTATGGATGTTTTTAGAAAAAGTCGAATTTTCGAATTTTCAACGTCGATGCGCGAGGGTCAAGCTTTAAGTTACAGACCTGCCCCAGATCGCGTTGAGTTTGTAATGCTATGAAGTAACTTTGGCGCGCTATTACGTTTGCGATATCGAAAAATCGTGTTTCACGGCCCACCCTAATGTACAGTGCACGCTTCCTGATGCAGAAAACACCCCATCCCTTATACTCTAACTAGGTCCATGCTTCAGTTTACGTGTATGCACTGGCAAGTTCATATGCTTTGCAGGCTTGCGCTAGCTAGAGCATACAATGTACGCTTTTGAATTAGTAGAGTGCTTGCAAAGTCTTTTTTTTTTAAGGCACAACAGGTAAGGGTTAAACCGTGTCTGGTCTGTGTAAGTCCTTCCACTTCTGTCCACAACATTTTCAAGTCAACGCGAGCTCTATCCAAAGCTGAGGCTCCGGCTGAAAAACCAAGGATCATTGCACCGTCCCTTTAGTTCTGCGTGCCTATCGTTTCACGGACCCACCAGCTGTCCCATTATGGTTTAGGAGGGAGTGTTTATCAACGAAAAATCAAAACAATTGTACCCGATTTGAACAGTCGTTTATTTAATTGCATACCGATTCAAGAAGTTCTTTTCAAGTTCTTCAGTGGCGTGCAGAGCGTTCAAACGTGAACAACCCCAACGAATCGATTTCACGTATCGCAATCTAGTACGTGAAATGCACATGCTGAGGCATACATCTCTTTAGAACTCATTTAAGCTAAATTGAATTACTAACATATACATTTACTACCAGGTCAGTTACGTACATTATCTGACTAACGATGGTGGGCCGATGCGAGCGAACCCCTTTCCAACAGACTTTCAGGCCAGCCAAGACAAGCTTTCAGCCATCAATCGGCTTTAAAACACTTTAGCCACGAGTTGAAGCAAGGAGTACCAAGAACGCAGAACCTCGAGACAGGTCACCAAATCCACCATACCCATTCCGAAGCGCGCGAACACCGCATGCGGTCGGGCGCGGCGCGACATGATCGTCAGCACGTAGGTATGAGAAGCTTGGTCACGCAGCTGGAAGCAAAGGGAGAGATCCACTTGTAAAACAGCATAAACACGATGTGTAAGGGTATTAACAGTCGTTCACGCCCTTCAAGGGCGTGAATTGTTTACTGCCCTTGGGAAGGACGTGAATTGACAAAAGTATCGCCAAAATTTTGGCGATACTTCGGGGTATCGCCCAAGTCTGGCAATAAACTAAGAACTTCTTTGGTTTGTCCAAAGTTTATTGCCAAATCGTGGCACTACTCAAAGTATCCCCAAAATTTGGCGATACTTACGTGTTCCGCCGTTTTGAAGGCAAGACTTTTCCGTAAGCCCATTTTTTTGGGCGATACTTTATTTTATCGCCAAAAAACGTTCTAAAGGAATCACCTCCGGATTTACAGTGTGCAAATATTAAGATCGAGCGCTCCTGTGGTCACAACTTTTAAACTTCAAGGATGCGATTTGGACATTAGACGCAAGTGTATATATTGGGTTTAGTTGTCCGAATTATCTTTCAGTTACAAGGAAGTGACCCAGTCAGACTAGCGCTTCATTTTGAGCAACGTAATTAACTCAACATGGCAATAGAGGTATTCGCCTCTCCATGCTACCATGAACGGTTTTTGCCGTATACATAAGGTTATCTTATCTTACTTCCACCCACTGCCCGTTGTACGCCGATGCGGCCACTCTATCGCTCGCGTCCTGGCCAAAAGAACAAATTAGACAAGAAATATTTTCATGATATCAAAAAGTGTATGGAACACATAAGTCAAATGGAACAAAATCAGTTTTGTCCAGAAAAGGTTATGTCCAACGGTTCTGGATCTACTGCTTCATACTTCCACTTAAATTCAAACACTCTCAAGGATTCGCGGCGTTCTTTTTTACAGGGATCCTTAACTCAACTTAACATTTAACTAACACTGCTGTCATAACGTAACATAAGACAATGTTCGCTATAGGTTAAGGGTACGGACTTATTAAAGTACTTGCAAAAGTATATCCACACAAATTCGAGACATAAAAAAATAACTTACCCTTTTGAAAGGATGTTAGAAGTTAAGGGTAATAACTTTAACTCTTATGATAACGTTATGATGCCCTTGTGAGATAAGTTAAGGATCCCTGATAACGTTATGATGCCCTTATGAGATAAATTAAGGATCCCTGCTTTTTTTTCCTGTGGCAAACGATGGTAGCGTTTGCGCCGCACTCACCTTTAGGTTGTGTCCCATGGTGCACATGGCCACGTAGAGCATGGTGTAGGGAATGCTGACTGCGGTGAAGAGATCGAACTTTCCCTTGAGGGCCATCAGTGAGGAACCCAGCGGCGTGAGGAGCAGTATCAAGGAAAAAGTAGAGAGGAGGGACAGGGAGTCGCGCACTGCCATCCCCACCTTCGACATTTTCGAGTCGAGCATCGCGACCTGTGAGGATGCTCCCAAAAGTTAAGCAAGCAAACAGGCTAGTTTAGGGACCCTCTCTGTCAGAGATGCGCACGCTAGTGTCTGAGCCGGGAAAAACGGAACACTGTTGAAACTATAAGGCGGAGTATAAGCCCTCTGATTTCGAGCGTAATCAGTTAAAGCTTGAAATGAAGCTTAGGGTCAGGGCGGGGAAAAACTGGACAGGGGAAGAACTGGACACCCCACATTTTACTTCAAATGCCGTATGTACTGGCCTGACAACTTTCATGTAATGAACCGCTGATGCCACGGAACAACTTTTGATAGTTGTTATTCCTGTGCCTCCGGTATTTGAAGTTAAATATGGGGTGTCCAGTTCTTCCCCTGTCCAGTTCTTCCCCGCCCTGACCCTAACTGGCTTATCTGCCAAGATTCCCCCTAACTAAACGTGCAGGTGGGAATTTCAAGTATATGCCTCATTTCAAGCGCAACGTCTTAAAGCGTAACTGACTGTACTGAAAATTTAAGTGTGTACTGAGTACTTCCATAGGGCATTAAAGTGTGTACTGAGTACACACATAGAGCACTTAAGTGTGTACTGAAGTACACACATAGATTTTCAGTGTGCTTGACTCAAGCACAGAGTAACACTGAAGTTTTACCAGTAAACACTTCAAAAGTAGGGAATTGTTTCAAATGAACTTAAAATGAAATTAAAGCCGTAGGGGCGCAATTTTTTTTTTTCGCCAATTGATAGTGATCGATGTGGTAAGGCACCATGTCAAACCGTTTTGCCCGGCGACGCATAGTTTCGGCGTCGCGACGCCCCAAAGTTCGAAATTTTGGCGGTTTTTGACATTTTTCAGACCACACGACGGGGAAATCAAGGGTCGCAGCGTCTTGAAACTTTGCACACTTGTTGGCAGGGACTGTATGCAGGGGATGGTCTACTCCAATTTGCGCTCTAACGTCTTGGAACGTAACTGGAACGCCTTGAAAATGAGTGATTTTCAGGAAGCTCCGGAGCGGAATCTAATGAAAGGGCGAAAAAATGGACCATCACATCCCCTAGGCCATGCCTTTCTCTTCACGGGCAAGTTTTTTCCATTTCTCTAGGAGGTGTGGTACTCGCGTCGTGTGGTCTAGAAAATCACTCAGATTTGAAGGTCCTGCACCGGTAGAGAGAGACAGGCTGCTTCGGCCGATGTGTTGTTTCTGTCGCAGCGGAGCTCAGGGCAGGTAGCCGGGGTCCGGGCTGACGCGCCGGGCGGACAATAGGGGAGCCGTCGAGGATCCGTCTGCAAGGCAGGCGGCACCGGGCCCCGACCAGTTTTGGCCAATTTTCGTCGCGATTTCGGTAGAAATTATCGTAGAACAAAAATTCAAACACCATTAGACCCAGCTTTCAACGACGAATCCATTGCCGCATGTTCCGAAAACGCGAAAAGGCTCGTTTGAAAATTTGTATTTTGGGCCTGGAGGTAATAAATCAGCCTGTCATCATCGTTGCCCCGGCGCAGCCCATTGTGAAGCAGGCCTCTCCACACAAAAGGGGGGCGATCCTTTCGCTACCTGAAAGCTAAAATTTTTCTAACGCGTCGTCATGGGATGTTCATCATTGTACTCGGGATAAATTTTTGATCTATCCATCTAAAAATTAAGTTTCTGCGGCCACTTTTAACAGAGCAACGAAAACAACTTTTTTAGCTACATAGAAATAATCTGTACTTCGCAAAAAATATTTTGTCAAATTTGGTCAAAACTTTTGATTTTGACCTGAAACTTGGACTTGGAGTTGAAGACCGGCCCCGAGCTCACGAAAAGCTGGCGATCTGCTCCGTGCGGCCCAGGCCGAGCCCCATGCCGGGGTGTCATTCACCCGCACTCCGGCAGGCCGGCCATAAACAGCCGGCCGAGGGTGCATTGTCTGCGAACCAGGTCTACGGGGCATCGGGGGCCCGGCGTCAGACGACTGCGGATGCACCCGAAAACGCTCTCGGATGCTACCATTCTCAGAGTAGCCACCCGCTCCTACGCCCCACAGTGGGCGAAATGACCACTTTCGACAAGAAAAAGTCAAAATGTTGCGATGTGAGTATGAAAATTCGTATCTGAGGGTTTTAGGGTCATCTAAACACGTTTCTGAAGTTAAAACTAGGGGTACGCGCCGTTTAGTCTGGGCGCGTAGTGTGGCTGAGCGATGCGAATTGACATAGTTGATGCACTTTGGACTTTGCTTGAGTAGACAAAATGTGCAACTCATGGGCTCAAATTAAGTGAAAAGTAAGTCTGGGGTATAAATGGAAGTGATTTTCGTTATAAGCACACAAAGATCTGTTAGAATCAACGTCAAACTCAATTTATAAATTTTGGACCAAAATTGGTCAAAATTTGGTAAAGCGTGAGTCTGGGAAAAATTTGGAAGTCATTTTTGAGTTCAGCACACCAAAAACTCCAGGAAACAATATAAAACTCGATTTGAAAATTTTGGTCCAAAATGACCTCATTTTGGATAAAAATATAAGTCTGGAGTCAAAATGGAAGTGATTTTCGATATCAACACCCCAAAAACTGCTGGAATCAACGTCAAACTCAATTTATAAATTTTGGACCAAAATTGGTCAAAATTTGGTAAAGCGTGAGTCTGGGAAAAATTTGGAAGTCATTTTTGAGTTCAGGACACCAAAAACTCCAGGAAACAATATAAAACTCGATTTGAAAATTTTGGTCCAAAATGACCTCATTTTGGATAAAATATAAGTCTGGAGTCAAAATGGAAGTGATTTTCGATATCAGCACCCCAAAAACTGCTGGAATCAATGTCAAACTCAATTTAAAAATTTTGGACCAAAATTGGTCAAAATTTGGTAACGTGTGAGACTGGGAAAAATTTGGAAGTCATTTTCGAGTTCAGCGCACCAAAAACTCCAGGAAACAATATAAAACTCAACTTGAGAATTTTGGTCCAAAATGACCTAATATGGGATGAAAATATAGGTCTGGTGTTAAAATGGAAGTGGTTTTCGTAATCAGCACTCAAAAAACTGCAAGAATCAATGTACAATTCAATTTTAAAAATTTGACCCAAAATCGGTTAAGTTTTGGGTCTGGGGACATTTTAGAAGTCAAAATTGAAGTCAGCGCTGTGAAAACCACAGGGAAACGCATAAACCCAGCTTAAAATTCCACCTGGAATTTCCTCTGGATTTCCTTGTTTCCATCTGGATTGCTCATATCCATATGGGATTTATATTTTCCAGCTGGAAAGGGTCATTTCCATACCAGGCTGCTGTCTGGAAATAAGGGTTCCAGATGGAAATTTTTTTTCCATAAGGGTTTGAGTAACCCAGAATGGAAATTGTATTCCACTGTGGAAAGTCTGATTTCCATTGCGAGATTTCCACAATGGATTTTACTAGAAATCCAGGATGGATTTTTCATTTCCAGACTGGATTTTGTAAGCTTTGTCCGCTAGATGGCGCTAGTGTCGCTATTTTGTCCTGAAGTAGATAAAAGGCTCTCCTAGCTCAAAGAAAGTGCCCTCATACTTCCGAATAGGTGAATTCTGAACGGTATCCATGAGAGTTATGAATCCTTATGTGAGTGATCTATGTATCAGTATTACAGGCTGAGATTTTTATAATCTAAGTTATCTCTCGCTTGTGACCAAGGCTCCCAATTTCCTTAGTCGAGGAAGTCTAGTTCCAGAGGACATGTGACAAATCCAGTACCATCTGGCACATCAATCAATTTTTGAGGCAGTGGCACCTGCACCTCTTTGGTGTCTGTACCATGCCGAGCTGGCTTTAGCTTCTCTACTTGATAAGCTTGCTCTAAATACTCAACTAATTCCTGCTTGAATCAGTATGAATACGCGAAAAGAATCCATATATTGAGAAATTGGGGGACCACAGGGGGCACGCTCCATTCTAAAGTCACTGCGATTAGCAGTGTTAAAGTAAGCCTCTTTTTTACAAATAAACGAGTACAGTATTTTGGAGTGATTTCCATTTCCACAGATGTGTAAATCCATACTGGAAATCGGGAACCCACAATGGAATTCATAAAATTCCAGATGGGAAAACGTTCCAAATACCAGCTGGATTTCAGATCCCTCTGGATTCTACTTTCCACAATGGAAATAAATCCAGACCAATTTCCAGGTGGAATTTTAAGCTGGGAATCTCAACTTGGAAAGTTTCGCCCCAAATTGCATAGCTCTAGATGAGAGTGTAGGTTTGGCATTGTAGTAAATGTATCTTTTGTGACTAGTACACTGAAATCTGCAGACAACCATCTAGACTCAATTACTGTATACATATTCCTATTTGTCTTCATGAAGCACCCTCTGTCGTCACCAATTCCCTGATGCCACACCAGTGCGAATCCTTCAGTCGAGTAATATTCAATTGCCAGCATTGAATCGCTTAATTGGCTACTCGTATGCTTGGGTCACTATTCGATATCTCTTTTTTCTAAACTAATGAATTCACAATTTCATAAGTAATATTTAAGAAATATTTTGTCATTCTTTCATTGTAAACCAGTCAATTAGACAATATTGATTGGAATATGTTATCACAGTTAATATTAAGAGACTCAGTTTAGGGTTGGCTGATCTGAACCAGTTGACGGAGACCAATTATTGTCAAATCCAGTGAATCCTCACATAGACTCCAATGTCAAGTCTACTTAAGGTGTAATGCACCAACATAATTTATCTTACTCATGTCTTAAACTATTTTATCTTTCGCAACATTGGGCTTGAGTTCAGAGTAAATTGTGAAGAGAGTCAGCTTAAACCTTAACCAATACTGAGTACCAGTTATTGAATACAAACTTTGGTGAAGTTAAAGGAATCGTCTCATGAAATCCCATGTTAAGTCACTCACCGCTCAAAACCTGAGTTGTCTCATTGACCCTATTTATATATTCAAACTCTAAAAGGATTATATATATACAACTATATATTGATCCTATCAATAAATAAATGTTAGTGCTGTTGCACTTAGGTCAGCTTGCAGCATTGCAACAGAATATAACTTGAGTCAAACAAAAGACAAATTACCAAAATAAGTATGCCTGCTATTTTCAACATATGTTATTTATGCACTTACTTGATTTCCTCTACTATGAAAATGAAGCACACAAAACAAAAGGTGAAAATAAAAACATCCATTTTACTACAATGCTTAGTCATAGTGCACTGACCTGAAGGAGATTCCCCTCAGACGGGGGAGGGGGGAGAGGGGAACGATACACGTAAATCATTCTCACCTCCATTCTCCATATTTCGCTTTGTTGATACTCCAAAAGGGTTTCAATCATTCTAGAATGTTGAAAAACTAAGGCCGATCTCATTTCCAAACCGTTCTGCTCTTTATTTTGTTTTACTTGCTGATTTGCTTGTGTCCCGTATTTCAGAGCCGCGGCCGTAGGTATGAGAAATTGGTAGGTAACTGCTGCCAACCTAAGCATGCTAATAAACTGATTCAAAAAGATGTTTTGAATATTTCAAACGATACTAAACAATGATTTGAAACAAACTCGTGTTGGGGGAAAGTAAGACGACGTTAAATGCGAAGTATGGAAACTATACCTGTTGTAGTCGCTGAGAAACGTGAGCGTGTACGAACAGAGGGACAGACAGACAGACGCACGACCAGTCACTTTTCAGCGCGCCCAAACACGGCAAGGGCTTCGCTATCGCTCAGCCAAAAAACTATTGGACAGCAAATTGACATAGTTTACTAAATGACCTAAGTACAACTTTTGGGTAATTTACATGAAAATTAACGTAGAACAAACAAAACCATTTTATTCTTCTGCGAAGGGCAACTTTCCTTCCCTCCGCCGAAGAATAAAATGTTTTTGTTTGTTCTACATTAATTTTGAAAAGAAAAAGGAGTTTTTCATGTAAATTACCCAAAAGTTGTACTTAGGTCATTTAGTAAACTATGTCAAATTGCTGTCCAATAGTTTTTTCAACTTCAGAAACGTGTTTAGATGACCCTAAAACCCCCAGATACGAATTTTCATGTACCTTTGGCGCAGGGTTGCCAGCGCCCAGGACTGTTGAAAATAGTAGAAAAGTGACTTAGCACCTTTTAAAATAGTGACAAAAAAGTGACGTCTTTTTGCTAAATAGTGACAATAAAGTTACCTTTTTAGACTAAATTTTGCTATGATCTGTAGAAAATTATCGCTTTTGGCACTTAATTGGAGCTCAAATACATGGTATGTGGGTGTAAGGACCATAAAACCGGAAAAAGGCGCGTGACACAGGGGCAATGGAATGGTTCTGTAAAGTTAACGGGAACTTTTAAACTCGAAAGAACAAAAAGAGAAGCATGAAAGCAAAAGCTTTAAAAACAAAACGGTGTTAGGATACATCTCTACTTAAAATATAAAGCTGAACCAAATTCTCAAAAAATACAAATAAATCTGATAAGATAGACTGGTCTATCTCGCCCGCAATAGAAGGCGGCCGCCTTCTAATTCACTCGCCTGACCGCGCGACGTGACACAACCACAACGCCGGGTCATATTCAAAAGATCTTATCTGGGCGTTCCCCCCAAGAGAATATTATCTTAAACGCAGACAAATTTTACTCATTTGTCATTTGATTTGGCTGCAAATCAATATGATTTGTGATAGAATTCACTTAAACCCTAAGATGAAAGATCTAAACAACTAAAAGTGCAAGTAGAAATGTATTCCGCTTACTCTCGTGTCCGTCCAGAACGATCGAACAGAGTGAAATACACCTGCCCTAAGGATAAGATTCTCTTGGGGCGAACGCCCAGATAAGATCATTTGCATAGGACCCCTCGTCAACAGTCACCGCCTTCCGACACAGCGCTGCCGCGCGGTTCGATACCTCGATAGACTTCACGAAACCGGCGGCGGGTGATTTGAACAGTGTTTTGAACCAAAGGCAAATTTACGCTTATAACGAAGTAAAATGGACATGATACCCTCCGCGAGCTCCAAAAAAGTGACAAAAGTGACAAAATTTCCAGAATAGTGGAAATAGTGAGGGCACTTTGGAAATAGTGATAAATAGTGACAATAGTGAGTCGCTGGCAACCCTGCTATCGCGACATTTTTCTTGTCGAAAGCGGTCATTCCGCCCACTGTGGGGCGGTATCTGTAGTGAACGAAACGAGGGGTCGGCAACTTCCCTTGGCCGTGTACGAGGGAGTATACGTATATTACCAGTAATATAGGTAATATATGTGTAATATAAAGTAAAACAAAGTAATATATAGTAATATAGGGGTATTATAGAGGCGAAATTGTGGTAATATGCAAGTAATATATGGTAATATACGGGTAATATAGCCACCGCGTACGAAGTAATATATGAGTTGCCGACCCCTCGGAACGAAACGCGATTTTGCCGCTGCGCGCTCACACAAATCGGCCAAGAACTTCCGTTTGCGCAGCTATGCGCAGCTAATTTTTTTTCCTCATGAAGTGCACACTAAAACCTATCAAATGCGCGCAGAGCGGGCGCCGGGTAACCTCAGGCTTTTTTCTACGCCCAATACGAAAATATTTTTTTTATGTTTATTTACAAAGTTTGCTAAAACACACGCAGTTTTGTCATTTCTCAACCAAATGCGTTTCCGAAAACAGTTTAAGATTCGCGAAGGCATGCCCTTTCGAACGATATACTTGGATTTGCTTGTAACTACTTTGGTGCAAGAGAAAAACGTCTGCTAACATGGGTGTTGTTATAGTGAAACAAGCTAGGGCCCGCCCTTCCGTCGAACCGAGTTGCCAGCTCCGCTTCGCTGCGCCGGCAACTCGGTTCGACAGGGGGCCGGCCCAGCTTGGCCTGCCGGCGGCCTTTTCTCGGGCCTTCGGCCCTCGCATCAGACCCAACTTGGACAGTCGAAGGCCCGGGCCTTCGGCCCGCTCGCATCACACACACCGTGAGCGGGTAAAGCAAAGCTATCGATGTACCATCGTGACTTAGGCCCACCCTTCTATTCACAATATGCAATAGTCCTTACACTTTTTACTCCAACTGTCCTTAGAATATGCCCATTTCATTTGTCTCTTCGCCCTCATTCCGAAAATACCCATATTTGCCATGCTACTGCAACTCCTTGCAATAGAGGCACAGCAGGAGCGCAAAACGAGTCCGTCGCACTTTTTCCCATAACTCATGAAGGCGGGCTCCTGGACCTCCCTTCCGACCCCTCGTTGAAGAGGTCTTGCCAAGACCTATCCAAAACTTAAGTAAAATTTTTCAGTCGGTCGACCCCCTTTTTTCAAGATCCTGATGTGACTAATAGACGAAGTCGGGCTCCTGGACCCCCTTTCCGACCCCTCGTTGAAAAGGTCTTGCTGAGACCAGTCGAAATCTGCAATAAATTTTTTTAGTCGGTCGACCCCCTTTTTTGAAGATCCTGATCTGGCCAACTTGTAAAAGCGGCCGATGGGGTCGGGACCAGGTCCATTCATCTTGTCTCGTCGCCCCGATTCCAAAAATACCCCTATGTGCCCTGCTAGCACCAATAATGGCGGAAATCCCCCTCCCGCTCATGTAAACCATGATGCACCTGCAGCAGCCCTTGTGCGACCCGGCCGGGATTTGCACCACCGGATTATTTGTTTGGACGGTACTCCTGAAGTACCCTCCAAATCTGGTTACTCTAGCTCAACTCCTTCCTTGTACACAGACGCCAACAACAACAACAACAACAACACACAGACACAAAGGCAAATGCATAGGCCCTCCCCCTATTTTTTGAATAGAAGGGCGGGCCAAAAACGTGCAAAGCACGACCACAGACTTTGACGTGGCGCACACGCAAAACGAAGACTCGTATGGAGAAATAAAAGGCAGATTTAGATTCAGCAGGCATTTTTCAGTCAGGAGAATGTGTTTGGACACGTAAGAAAAATATTTGGAACTCGGACTTTTTCTTGTCGAAAGCGGTCATTCCGCCCACTGTGCGCCCTTAACAGGATTTTAAGTTTAAGAATTCTAAGAGCCATGTGTTGGACTGAGGCAACTGTTAAATAATTTTGAAAAAATTCAAAAACCTCAAATTGCGTATGCGCGAAATTCAAACCAATCAATGAAAAAGACTTCTGTTAAACCCGACCGAGTTAACTCCATGACCCCGTCGCTTAACCTCACGATTCAGTGCCCATGTTCCTCAAACGAAAGTCGCCTGCGTTTTGAAACCATCCCTCCCGAATTTTTAAAATTTGCCAAACCAACCGTCGTGCTGTTGTCGCGTGCACAAAGTGCTACTGCCCCCTTAGCGAACGTTTATATGGCGTTAACGCAGTTTCATATAAAATTTAATTATTCTCGCCAAAGTGTCAATTTAAAACAAGAGGGGAGGGGTGCAGGGATCCTTAACTTATCTCATAAGGGCATCATAACGTTATCATAAGAGTTAAAGTTATAACCCTTAACTTCTAACATCTTTTCAAAAGGGTAAGTTATTTTTTTATGTCTCGAATTTGTGTGGATATACTTTTGCAAGTACTTTAATAAGTCCGTACCCTAACCCTATAGCGAACATTGTCTTATGTTACGTTATGACAGCAGTGATAGTTAAATGTTAAGTTAAGTTAAGGATCCCTGGAGGGGTGTTTTCGACTACCCCTAATGTAGGTGGGCACTGGCAAGTATGCACCTGCCGATGCATACCAAGTACACACTTCAGCTCTGAGGAAGAATCAAACCGCGCTTCGACGCCTACCTCCTTCCATTTGGCTGGAGTGTCCGCGGCCAGGGTGGTGCTGGCCAGCACCTGGTAGAGGCTGACGATGATCATGATCACGCTGGTGTACAGGGACATGGACAGGAAACAGTGGACCGCGAAGGGTGTGCCGAGGCAGACCTGGCTCAGGCTGCCAATCAGCACCCACACCTTGCCCGGAGGCCACGGCCACATGGGCACCTCCATCCGCTCCTGCCAGCCAAACCAACCACGCAATGTTGGTGCCCCCTATCACACTGCAAACCAAACTGCCCACTTTGGCCCACACTTGAAAAAGGAATACTTGCAAAGACGAAGAAATGCATGCATGACCAAATATACTCATGTGTGTGGGGGGGGGGGCACTTGCACTTCCTACGAGAAGAGTCGTTATTTATTTCGTTTTGTCGTGCGAGAAAGGCCCTAAATGTTTTGGCTGCGCGCAAAAGATGCCAATTACTCTCTGCAACTGGTGACCTAAACGTGTAGTTTTTGAACTTGCCAGACGCTTGTCAGAGCAAAGCGACAAAAAGTGTGAACAAGAGATATGAGGCGGGTTGCTGACAAAAACGACATGTTAGATAACCCTAACCTTCTCGGTAAGGTAATGATGTTGCTCGCGCGCAGTGCAATGCCAGTAGTAAGTTTACTTGCCACGAATTTGGCAAGCCGTTTTGAATGCCAAAAATTGGCAAGCTTGGCCCGGAAATACTCCCTCGCTTGCCAAAATTTGGCAAGCTTGGCCCACCCCACCTTGCCAAAATTGGACAGGCTTGGCCCACCCCACCTTGCCAAAATTTGCCAAGCTTATGAAGAGTGCCGACCAAAGCTTGCCAAATATTGGCATTCAAAACGGCTTGCCAAATTTGTGGCAGGCAAACTTACCACTGGCTTTGCAGTGGCGGCACACATGATTTCGATGCTTCTCTAAGGAGGGTCGGGGTCGGTTTAGGTTTCTAGTGCAGTTTCAGCGCAAAGCTGGCACCAACCACGCACTCACACAATCATGAAACACACCTGTGACATGATTAGAGGGATGATCAACGTGAACGTGTCTGCCATGGCGTACACCTTCGAGTACCGTAACAGATACTCCGTCCAGCTGCAAGCTTTCTTCAGTGATTCCTGCGATGCAGAACAAAAATAAAATTATGTACGCCGCCGGGCAGTTTGCTCGTGCTGTTTGAAAAATGTAACCAAATCCACGGCCTTCCAGAGCAACGTGAGGTACTTCCGTAGGCTTGATCGCAGGGACACTGTGAGAAAAAAGTACGGAAAAAGTACGGTACATGTCTGGTCAATAATTTGCCTGGACCGTCCGTACTTGCCAACTACGGAACGTTCCGTACTTTTTTTCCGTACCATTTACATGGGTTCATATGGAGCAAGTACGGACGGTTCCGTACTTTTCTCCGTACCTCCGCACTATATTTTTCTGTACCATTTCCGTACAAAAGTACGGAATTTTTTACAGTGGATCCTTAACTTATCTCATAAGGGCATCATAACGTTATAAGAGTTAAAGTTATTACCCTTAACTTCTAACATCTTTTCAAAAGGGTAAGTTATTTTTTAATGTCTCCAATTTGTGTGGATATACTTTTGCAAGTACTTTAATATGTCTGTACCCTTAACCTATAGCGAACATTGTCTTATGTTACGTTATGACAGCAGTGATAGTTAAATGTTAAGTTAAGGATCCCTGCTTGATCGTTCATCGAAAAGGTCACATTTGATTGAGGCACCTCAGGATCTCGTATCAATTGATACAGTCGTCGCAACGTAAGCCCGTAACGATTAGGGAGCAACAGAACTGAGTTTGCGCCAAAAGTTCCGGCCGAGGCGTTGAGCCCGGTAGGTGGGCCAGGGTCGGCACCGTGGACTAGGCCTATTAGTTGTGGAAAACTGCCACTGAACCCTTGCTTCCGGCGTTTCTGTGAGCCTGCGTATGGTCCCATCCTATTGCCTCCTGTCTTACGGTGAAAGGCTGCACCAACATAATACACTGGTAAAACTAAAGCGTAACTCTATGCTTGAGTCAAGCATTAAGTTACGCTTGAAATGAAGCATACTCTGGAAAGTCCACCACGCATTTAGATAGGGGGAATCTGGGCGGTTGGGCCTGTTACGCTTGATTTCAAGCGTAACCTGATAACGCTTGAAAACAGAGGGTAATACTACGCTTTAGTTTTACCAGTGTATGGTGGAGATTTTCTCCACAATACCAACGAAATTCGTCAAAATCTCTATAAGGTACAGTGAATTCTCAATGGTATGTTACGAACTCAGCTGCACCACCATAATATGGAACATTTTCACCGTAATATGGAGAATCTTCACTGTACAACATTTAGAGTGTGCTTGCTAGCCGAGGGGTGAGTCAGTGTGCGCGCTGGTGTACATAAGAGTGCAAGTGCATACACCTTCGAATACTCGGAAATTCCACAATTTTCAAGCCTAACTTTGAGTCTAACACGACAAACTACACGAAATTACTCAAAACAGTAGTGAGTTTTTTCTTTTTTAGAACCTTTGAGCACACTGATTACAGGAAAGTGTGTACACAGGAGTACACTCGACAAACTGAAGTGTGTACTCAGTATGCGTCTTCAGACGCCTACTTGGCTAAGTACACGTCTAAAGATGCATATTTGGCTAATAACACATCCATAGATGCATACTTGGCTAGTTACACATCTACAAACGCATACTCAGCTGAGTACACATCTACAGCGCTGCAAGAAAAAGTGTGGATAGTACAACAAAAGTACAACAAAAACTGTACAATAAAAGTACAACAGGGATTGTAGAAAGTACAACGCGAATTGTACAAACCACAACGAGCCCTGGACTGCACAGCACTCGTCATGCCGGTTCCATTGTACTTTGAACATGAATTGTTGTACTTGGAAAGTACACTAAATTCCTGATTTAAAAAATTGGCCAGAAATTTGTGTACTTCTGTTGTGGTTATTTCCTGCAGTGAGATGCATACTTGGCTGAGTACACACCTACAGATGAATACCTTACTCATCCAAGTATGCATCTGTAGACCCATACTGAGTACACACTTCAGTTTGCAGAGCACGAGTGATTCGCCCCTCGAGCGCCAACCTTGTTGTTGTGCGAGTGCGCCGCTAGCAGCTGGGCCACTTGCTGCAGCTCGCTGAGTTCTTTGTCCAGCAGCTGGCGGCGCGACATAAAGAAGGTGGTGGTGGGGATGATGAGAAGGAAGGCGAACTCCATGCGGACGCCGCGGGACATCTCATCCACCGTGTCGGCGTGCAGCGCGGCGCCGAGGATCAGCGCGCCCATGGTGCTGCACAGCGTCAGCATCAGCTGGAAACGATGTGTTCGTTTTCTTTGTATATTAAGTACGAACCACGATGCTTACAGTAGAACTTTTCTGTGAACCCTTCCATGTCCAGCGCGTGATTGTTTTTGCGCAGCGGCAAATATAGGTTTCCTGCGCACCGCAGCACGTCACCATAGTTCTTGGCCGTATTTCCTCACCCGCGAGCCGACGACCCATCGCCAGTAGTAGCTGTGTCTGTTGCCCGGTTGCTTCCGAACGGGAATTAGCAACTCTCGCCAAAGTTGCAGTGCATCCACGATGCCATCCATGGAGTCGAATGAATAAGTTGGAGCTTGTCTTCGTGAATTCTCTCCTCCGTTCTGTAAATTTTGCTTCAACCTTGTTCTTTTTAGTGCGCCCACTCGGACAACGATAAGTTCAACCCCCTACTCCCCCTGTTTTCACCATATACGCACTTCACCAGTTTCACTGTGGCAAAGAGCTACGGAAAATTCTGTAAACAGCTTGTGGTAATCCTCCGTAGCCCCCTTATCAATATTCTCTGTAGGCTCTTACAGCATTTTCCGTAGGACCGCACAGTATTCTCCGTAAGACCTTACAGAAATCTCCGTAGGACTATACAGTCTTCCAGGTCCTACGGAGAAGACTGTGTGGACTTACAGAGAATACTGTACGGCCCTACGGAGAATACTGTAAGAGCCTACGGAGAACATTGATAAGTGGGCTACGGAGAATCCAGGCAAAAAATTAACAGAATTTTCCGTACCTTTTTTCCACAGTGTTAAGGGGGCACACCAGTGAAAATCGTCAAATTTTTGCTTTCTTTTTTATTTTATCTTATTTTTCTGGTATTCATCCCGAGTCGAATGCCGCAAACCCCACCCCAAAATTCCAATTACTTTGGCTTGTGCACATTTTTGAAGTTGCTAAAAGGGTTATTATTTTTGGATATTTTAGACCAATTGTGAACGTTCAGGTTTTTCACTTAAAGTTTAATTACAAAACCCTTGAAACACCCAAACGCAGTTAAAAAGAGGGTCATTTTGGCGCAAAACGAACTTAAATACTTCAAAAGGCGCATTTATAATCCGAAAAAACACGTCAAATCTATGTTTCTACTAAAAGGGCTTTTTCTCAAAACACCTTTTTTGTACCTTCGTGCCACTCTCACGGGCGCAAAAATAGAGATAAATTAATGCGGTTTGCGGCAAAATGTTCGTTAAACTTGCGTCTATGGTCTGAACCTCGGAAATGACCATCCTATAAATAGGACGTGAGCTGCAGCCATGAAAGCGCAAAAAATTTGGTTAAAAAAATTGTTTCTATTTTTGCCTTTTGAAAAAACAAATTCAAAATCATTCTTTTTGCATGCCCGTGGTTCAGACCATAGCCACATGTGTCCTGTTGAGAAATTTTCAAATCCCGTGCTCGAGGCTCAATCCAGAGAGGCGGAATCGTGGCAGGAGTGAGACGAGGTCGCAGAAAAATGAAGTGCACTGGCGCTCCGTCTTGCCATCGCCACCCCACCCTCCCATACTGATTTTTCTTTTCTTTGATATGATTTTGAGCCACGAATAAAATATCAATCGAATACGTAGGTTACTTTTCTCAGAATGATCGTTTTTCAAAACCTCTACATTTTCACTGGTGTGCCCCCTTAAGTGCAGCTTTTTAAGGAATTATACGAAGATATAACGAAAAGGTGCAACTCATCGCTTAGCTCTCGAAAGTTTTCTGCACACAAATGGGTGTGTTTCAGTGCGAAGCCTTAATTTAGCGCACATCCACCACTTTCCGAAGAATATGGCTGCATTGCAAGATGATACCGACTTTGTTCAAAGTGCGAACCAGGTTGTTTGCGTACACACTAAATGTTTAAGTACAATTTTGTACGTGGTGATGCAACCTGCGTACCGTCGTGCATAAAATTGTGCGTGAATTTGCATAAATTCATGCATTTTTACGCATGATATTCTGTATATTCCACGTATGCACAAAATGGTGCGGGTTGCACGAACAAAATTTTACCTAGACATTGAGTGTGTACGAGACAAATTCTTCGCAAGGTTTTAACAGAGTGTAAAGCAGTGCACACATTCTACATTCCAGATTAGTGCGCGGCCTCGACCTCATTTACTGGTGGAGGCCCCGACAAGGGAGGAAGAAACACTGGGCCACCCCAATGAGCAAACGGCCGTCTGAAGCCATTCCAACTGCTGGCCAGGTCGTATGTTTTATGCATGCAGAGCCGTAGCTGTGATTGGTCGCCGGCCGCTGCAAGTTGGTAAAGTTCGCTCCAGTTTCTCTAGAAAGAACGGAAACTTGTCTGTCACGGCACGCTGAAACAGTGCACTGAAACAAGACTTCTATAACCATTTGGAGAAGACTTGTTTTCTCAAATGTTTGACAGGAGGAGTCAACCAGAAATCAGGAGGTGGCAACGGCCTAGAAAGAGCGTGAAGCGATGCTCGCGTCGTCAATGCAGAGGTTGCGCACTTGCTTGAGATTATGAAAACTAGACTGTTTTTTTTTTTCAAAACGCTTTGCACCGATGGAAAGGGCTTGAAATTTAGGGTGCATAAGGCTAATTGCTCTTTTCGAGACTACCCTTTACCTGATATAGGGTACTTTCGTAGAATCCTGAACCGGAAGCAAGCAGACCAGCAGACGCCAAATTGGCCGGAAACTAACCTCTCTTCGGATCCAAAACTATGGCCGAGCTGTACAAATATTGCTCGCGAAACACATATGCACTGCAAACAAGTATCAAACGACTGTTTATGTTCACGTGTGGCCGATACCTTTGACGAACGTCTGTTTCCCATGTCAAGTTTGGATCTACTTCCGCCAATGTCTGTGTGCTTCCGGTTCAGGGATCTACGAAAGTACCCTATTAAGGTGCAGTGAAAACAGCTAAAAAACACGAAAAATCATCAAATTTAGGAAAAAACTCGAATGCGCCATGTTGATAAATGATTCCGCCCTTGTGTTCGGTTGAATTGGAAGTATCGGGCAGTCTCCTAGGCCTAATGCACCCCAAATTTTGTGCTCCTTTGATCTGTGCAAAGCGTTTTGCAATCAACGGCCTAGATCTTTCAATCGAAGCAAAATAAGTAACCCCTGCACCTCACTCGCGCATGGCTTCACGCGCTTCCTAGGCCGTTGCCGCCCCCTGCAGAAATCCTCCCCAGCAACTAAATTTTGATAGAATCTCTGGCAGAAATACCAACATTAATAGAGGCGTATGTAAGAAGTTTGAAAACTGCAAGGAAAGCTGAACTTCCTGCAGTACACCCGAAAAGTACGTACCAAAGATTTTTCTTCATATTACTTACCAAATTCCGTAGGAGTATTACACTGCAAAGCCGGTGGTAAGTTTACTTGCCACAATTTTGGCAAGCCGTTTTGAATGACAAAAATTGGCGAGCTTGGCCCGGAGATACACCCCACCTTGCCGAAATTTGGCAAGTTTATGAAGATTTCCGACCAAAGCTTATTTACCAATGGCTTTGCAGTGTTGTTTTATTAACGGTGCAATTTACGGTGCAATTGTATTACATAACACTTCTCTAGACATACAAAGTTGTCTGTTTTGTACAAAACCTTTCCTCGTAATCACTGGTTTTCAAGTGTAAATGAACTCATTTCAAGAGCTTTAACATTTTTACCTATTATTACTTATTTATTAGCGCTATGAAACACTTGTTGCATTTGAACTGCGACATAGATTGCCTACCGCCTACCGCAAGTTCCCCATATTCGGCCGGGTTCTGCACCTGCCACACCAGAGCAGTGCAGGTGTCACAGGTCGGCGGGGTCAACTTAGGCCCGTACATGGGCAACTTGGTCACGTGCCCTATCCCGTCTCGGTCATCGGCGCCGACGTCGTCCACTGCATCGGCAGGAAGGTACTCGCTGCCCTTTCGGGGCGCAAATGAGTCAAAAGAGGTGTCACTGCGATTGCAAAAGGAGAAAATAAATGTTCAAGTGGCTGCACCGCAGATGTCTATTTGAGCGCCCCTCCATCACTGTGAGAAAGTGGTACAGTTTTCGCCGTTAAATTTGGAAGTGCGGTGTTAACCGTACCTGGAAATACCGTGTCGTAACACTGAAAACGTAATGGTTGGACAAATGGCCAAATTATGGCGTGACAAAAAGTCACGACAAAAATTGGCGTGACACAAAATTCGCGCCGAAAAACGGCGTGGAACGTGAGTCACGCCCTCATTTGGCGTGCACGGAAAAAAAGAATTTGTTGTGACAACGAAAATGTATATTGATTTTGGGATAGCAAAAAAAAAAGTTGTTAGGCGTACTATCAATTTGTTGTGGGAACGAACACTTTGCTCTCACGGCAAATAATTCGTTAGGAGTACAAACATTCATTTTTCTTATGTTTAGCACTCCTGACGATAAAGTTCGTTGTCAGAACGAAATGATCGTTCTGACAACAAATTGATGGTACGCCCAACAACTTTTAATAGCTATCCCAAAATCAACATTCATTTCCGTTGTCACAACAAATTCTTTTTTTACGTGCTTCACCCGTTAAAATCTACGCCTTTTGGGGGTAAGAGGTGTGTCTGGGTGCTGAAACTCGACAAATCGCTTCTTTGCCGGTCATTGACACTCCCTCTAAGCAGATGCAGTGGAATGAGCCAGGAAAATATGTAAATTGTTAACTATGAAACGATATTTATTATCAAGTATTGAAACAACAAATCATGACATATATCAGCGTGACGATAGTTGGACCATTTGAAAGAGGTCATGAATCAAGTCGCTTCATAGAACATTGCTTTATTGACAACAGAATAATGTAGTCAGTACATCGTTAAACGGTAATGTGTATGAACAGACTTAAACTCTATATAACATCACTGTAAAAAAAATATTCTGAAATTTCAGACAAAATTTGACTGAAGTTAATTAACAGTAAGGGGTTCTGAAATTTCAGACCATTTCGGCGGTCTGAAAATTAAGAATAGGGTGGTCTCAACGTTTAGAATTGGGTGGTCTGAAAATTAAGATTTAGGTGGTCTGAATTATTAGACACGGCCAGTCTGAAGAAAATTCAGACAAAAACACAAAATTGTAACGTTGAACCTTCACTCCATTGCGAGAGAAGTCTTTGATAGAACTTGCGCGTTACTTATCGGCCTTGCTCTTTACTCGGAAACTCCGAATATCTTGGTATTCGAACCATCGTATCCTCGCTCGTCGGCTTTGCGGGCTATCCGTTACACCACGGGACCGCTCTGAGAGCGCGCCCGCGTGGGAGAAAGAGTAGTTGAACTGCAGCGAGGGGGTATTCACTCGAAGTATTCTCTGTACACGCCGGGATATTCATATTCATGATATTCCGAAATATTCATACGTATTCAGGTATTCAAAAAATATTCGTGATATTCACACATATTCGGAATATTTTGAAGTATTCACCTGTATTCATAGGTATTCAATAGTATTTAGGATATTTTGCATAAAGTTTGGATGACCTACGAGCGTTTGAGTGTCCCAATCCCCATGTTCCCCAATTTAAATTAAAGCGTCTCGTACTGCCACGGGTTGGCTATGTCGAGACCATGACGGGGGCTGGCCCGAACTGGTGGTGCGTTTCCTTGGCACCATCAGCCCTTCCACCACTCCGCTGCTGAGGCTGCTGGAAATGCCCAGTTCGGGTACCATCACAACAGTACTCAGTACCCTTCGGCGTGTACACACGAGTACACTGACACTCTCAGGAGCTTGAACTTATTTGAGTACACACCTAGGCATTCCTGGCAATATAGGCCGACGTTCAAATCAAAGATGAACAACGAGACTGTGTGGTGTCAAAGTTACCTTTACCTCTGAAATTGCCCCATAATGTCAGAGCAGACACGTAGAAATTATTTCAATGCACTGTGATTCAGCTGGAACAATATAGGTCACATTTTGTCAATTTTTGGGGGAAGTTTTTGAAGTTTAATGGAGTCTTGGGTAGCCATCGCCAATATTTTTTGGCAGTTAGAGCGCTTCTTTAGGGCCCTTGATTGATCCCATTATGGATTAAAAATGTATTTAAAACCGGTTTTATTAGTCGAAAACTTTCTTTCTCGTAAAGACGGGGGGTCCCAGAAATTTCTTCTCATTATATTGTACGCGTTTTAGGTTTAAATTTCATGATATTCATTAGATATTCATGATATTCACACATATTCACCAGTATTACCTCATATTCACTAGTATTCAGACGAATATGTGTATTCAAAAATATTCTTGGTATTCACGGATATTCACACATATTCATATTCTCTGTACACGAAAAAAGCGAGTGATTACCCCCTCGAACTGCAGTTTCAACTGCAGTGGCCTATCTGCAGTCAATGTCTGTAGTTGAAATCTGTAAAAAGTCTGTCGTTGATGTGTAAATTATTTTGTATGATTAGCTGTATTCCTATTTTATGCTCTGACAGATGCTCAATCTGCAAAATATCTGCTTTTTATCTACAGTCAATTTTGCAAGAGTAACTGTGTTCCGAACTGTGCACTGACATGTGGTGCAACTGTCTTTTAACTGCAGTCTGCTGTCTGCATTCGACTGTTGTTTTGATGAACAAGTCCGAACGCAGTTCAAACTGCACTTTTAAATACATTTGAGATGGATATGCAAGCATGCATGTAAAGTATACGTCCGCTGTCAGACCTGAGCACATTTAAAAGGCACTCAAGACGCTACTTAAAGTATTTTTAGAAGTTCAGACCAATTTCGCCTGACTTGGTTGTCCGAATTGCAAAATCATTTGTCATTTGTCACGCAAACCGATTGCATCTCATAAGGCTCAACCACGATTTAAAAAAACAAGGAGATTTCACCCTTCAGCGCCTATGGGGTAGGCCACCAGCCCGCAACGCACCTGTGTGGAGACGGTGGCCTGCCATGCCGGGGGCCATAGTGGGCCTGTCTGGAGTTGTCATATTTATGGGCTATTTCTGATGCCCATGTGTGACTGGCTTGTAGGCATTGTATTTACAGTGTGACCTACAGTTGCTTGAGGAGAAGAAGAAGTGGAACTAGCCGCAACGTGCACGCGCGGAGAGCCTGGCAGGTATGCCACACCAGGCCCGCAACACACGCGCGTTGCCGGGCTTGCCTACCCACTACCCAGCAGGCGCTCCAATCCGCCGCGGCGCCTTTTGGTTTGCGCTGGGTGTGTGTTGCGTCGATACGCCTCGAGCCATCGACTCTGCGAGAGGCCAGCTGCAGCTAAGGCCGTGGCTGAGGCAGGCTGTATTGTTGACCAGTCTGAACGTCACGACGGCCTTCATTCATTCTGCTGATGGCGTCCCACGGTCGTGCTTTCCAGGACCTTAGCAGGGCTAGGCGAGTTATTCTCAACGAGTGCCGAGCTTATGTTTCCGTAAGTAAATGGAGACAAGCAAATGCAGCTATGCAGGTACAGGAGAAGTCTAATTT